TTGTTATTTTTCACATATCTCTATCATTGCAAGCTCGCCGTTCATCTTGCTTCAGTGCAAATCTATGGCTACCTTTCAATATGGCGCAGGGAACTGTGAGGACTATTTAATGAAAAATCACCAAGAAAGAAAATTAAAGTATATTGACAGAAAGATCAGAGGTGAATCCAGAATTCAAAGAAAGGGGGGCAGAAAATTTTGGCATTAGAGGAACCTCTATGAATCAGAAAAAAAGGAGAAGCACAAAAAGATATTGCCGTCAAAGGAACCTCTATGACTATATAGTTAGCCAAAAAAAAGGGGTAGCAATCAGAAAAGAGTTTAGCCGCTCAACTAATTTTTGGTCGGTTTTTGATTGGCTAATGCATAAGAATTTTAATTGAATTGACATTGCAGGGCTTAAGACAACGACCAGACATCGGACAATGTCCAGTCAAAACTGGGATATTTCTGGTCAAATCTCTGTCTTGTTGGTCATTTTGGCCAGTAATGTTGAGCCAGAAATAAGGTATGACTAAGCTAAAAAAAACTAGTTTGGCCAGTGATCATGACCAGTGACTGATCGGCCATTATTTTAAGCCCTCCATTGCATTGTAAAGTAACTAGATTCCACTTACTGCTTTGTTTTCTGGTGCCATTTTGATCATTCTATCMACATATTCCCTTGATTTATCAACTTTTCCAGTATGCCATAGAAACATACTACCAAAAWACAGAGCCATTTCGCCACAGCTTTGCCGATCCTGTCGAATCTTGGATTCATATTCCTGCACTGCTTCTCTGTCCACTAGCTTGGCTTTTTTATGTGCATACACTAATGCCATGCTCGAGCAWAGAACAACTTCTGGCTTGTCTTTGACAAGTTCAAGTTCTCTCATTGCCTCAGATGCCCTGTCTATTAAGAAGAACAAAAATCTTATTCAGTGGTATTACTCATCCAGTGAGATTTGGGGGTCTTTTTAAAAAAAGGCAGGCTTAAAGGTGGGGGACAAAAGCATTTGACTTGCACATAAATCTTACAATAAACAGAATCGAAAACAATGAATGCAACATTTCTTTTATGCAACAAGGGAGAGTTGGGGTCAGCGATTTTTTTGTATGGGTCACCACGCGAATTCCACACCCCTGCCCCTTMACCCCGATAAAAAATGGTCCCAGTCGAGTAGATAGAAAGCTACGACTGTATCAAGTGATGAGAAAACAAAAAGAGAAAAACAGGGAAAATGCCAAAACTTGAAAAACTTGAAAAGCTTTAAAATAACATATACAAAATACATTACAGATTTTAAGTCGAACACTTGTCTAGGCTGCGTCTAAAATTGGTTTTGATTTATATTTTTCAGTTTGGTTTTGACTTATATTTTTCATCCTAAAATGATACTTTTTGCCTACCTTCCATCAAAATCCCGAAAGCTTTCCAGAAAATCAACACCGGATCGTTGCCATATTTCTGTAGACTTTCAAGACACGTGTTCTGCAGATGYCTGTAGAACTTTTCACGGCAATAATAGTTGATAAGAGCCTGTAGAAGAAGTAAAAAAGCGAAATAAAATATGGATAGCAACCAAAACACAACTGAACTAGCAACAAGACGCTAGAGACAAGACGCTAGAAACACTTGACTGGTTACAAAAATCAATATTGCTTTACTTACCAAAGTATAGGAATCATTCGAAGCCATTTTTAATTTTCTTTAAAATGGTGTAAATAAATAATGGTTGTGCTATTGGAGAAAGAAGTAAGGATTTTTTAAAGAAATCGTCGCCAAACAAATCAACCTTCCGCCATTTTTAAATTGGCAGGATTACCCAGCATGCACAGGGGTCTTTGAATTTCAGTATTTTTCGGGAGGAAATAATAAATAAAATTGGGAGAAAAATGAAGAAAAGAAAGAAAGAAAGAAATGGAAAAATGAGCGAAAACATTAATGAAAAGCTTTATCTTTGTTTTCGAAGATGGATGAATAGTAGACGAAGATAATAACGCGTTTTCTTTTTTTGAGATTACCCATCTCGCTTTGAGCATCAAATTGTCACCCAAAAATAGCATCGTACAAAGATATGGGGAAAAATAGAGGAAAAAAGGAAAGAAAAAAGAATAAAATTCAACATAAAAGAAAAAGATGGGAAAGGAGAAGGGAAAGATTTCAGCATTCAAAGTGGGCAAAAATCAAAGAATAAATAATAAGCAACGTCAAAGTTAGTAGCAAATCGTCAAATAAAAATCAAAACAAAACAAATCGATCATTTTGGGATTCATAATATCATTTTTTTTATTTGACCGTAATTGGGTTCCCTGTGTAATAACTCTTTCCCAGCATGCATTGGGTGCATAGTTGTCCCAGCATCCATTGCGGGTCGTATTTTCAAGATGGCGGCAGAAATGACGAGTAACCTTGAAGAAGAAGCTTTGAAAAGAAAAGAAAAATTACGAGCTATGAGACAAAAAAGTGGTGTCACAGGGGACCAGCAACCAGAGGTAGGCTCCCGTAGACAGCGGAAATCGAGACATATAACGAAATATTTATACAGTTTACAGTAAAAAAAAGCCTCAATATTTTTAACACTATACATTTGAAGCTTATATTAAGTCTAATATTTTAAGCTTATGTCAAGTTCATTTTGTATTTTGTAAGAGTATTTGGTCGTTGACGAATTTATAGATTTATAAGGCAAAAATTTTAGTCATTACTTGACAAAGCGTGTCTTTTAATTTAGCAAACAAGAGGAGAGAAACGGCAAGCAGAGGAAACAAGGTCAGTTCTGCCAAAGCTGTCATTCAATTTACTGTAGTAGCAAAATAAGGACTTTCATTACATACTTTATACAACTTTTCTTTATCATCCATATGTTAATTTTATGTTTTTAGTACAATACTTGTTTTTACGGTTCCATTCAGTGACCACCAATAAAAGTTGCAAGTCAAGGTCGGACCGGTTGCCTCGATACCATATCATGCCCAGAAACTCCAACCTCGACTTCGAACTATTATTCATGGTCACTGAATGCCCGAGTCATAAAAAGAAGTATTATAGAGTACAAGCCTAAGAAAGGTTCTGGGTCGTTTGTCATGAGAGTGGCCTGTATGTCCACCACCTACAATAATATTCACATATGTTGTTTGTTATTTTGTCAGTGAACCGATTAAGGTGATAAAATTTAGAAACTACGTTCCTAAAGATGAAACACTAAAAGATAAAAAGTTACCAGATGCTAAACCTCTTTCAGGTAAGGACTTCAAGTATATTTATTTTATCTTCAGAAACCTTCATTTTTTAAAATTTCCTGCTGGAATTTGAATGCACGCACAGTCAACTCTTGTTGTTGTGAACACTTTCAGGGCCATCACTTGGTGCCCCAATAGCAAGGGTCTGCAAAGCAGGGAGGTTATATTAAAGAATAAAAGACAAATTACTAGGCACATATGCCATAAATTTGAATCTTCAAAAAATGTGTCCTTCTATTAGAAAAGGAACAGTTCGAGAGTTGACTGTACTAATTGTTTTTGGTGTTTTCTTTACAGTGGAAGATGAAGTTAAAGAACATTTAGAGAAAGCCAAGTCAACAAATATCATCGAGGAGGTGGTAAGTTTAAGAGTTGAGGAAGTAGAAAAAGTAGGAGAAGATTACAGCATACATGTTCTATAAGTAATGTGTACAATATGAGTGGCTATGTTTGTGTCGTACTGTATATCGCATACAACATGGACAAGAATATTGTATATTACTTAACAAATGTGTAGGAGAGATAAGGCGGTAAGTCATGTGGGATGGGCTCAGAAATCGTATAAGAACATGTGTAATAGGTAAATTACGAGCCTTATATAAAATGATTGAAGAAGAGGGCCAATAGGCCTTTCACAACTTCAAGTAGCGTAAATTGAGCCAGCTCAACTAGAAACCGTGGACAGTTGTTTCGGCCTGTATCGGGTCTTGTCAGCCCAGTGTATCTAGTGAGCTGGTAGAATCCCAGTAAGTAGTACTAGATAGATGAGGCAGTAAGCTGTGTGGGATGGGCTCATTTTGCACGTATTCAAAGCATTTGAATAACAGTAATTTGAATAACCCTTTTATTTATCAGGATCTTACTAACCTTGCACCAAGAAAGCCAGACTGGTAAGCCTTGATTTACGCACACTTAAATTCTGAGCATGGTGGTCAAGATAACAATGGTTTACTTTGACGAAATGGTGGCCATTGTGGATTGCAAGGCATCATGGGGCATCCAGGGGGCAAATAAAGCTTTGTTACAGTAATGACTTCAATTGATATTAACAGCTCACCACAAGAGAATACAACTAAAGATGAATTTAAAAAGGGCACATCGATCACCGTTACCCATAAAAGAAAGACAAACACACGAAACTCTATATATTTTCCGTCATCTTTGTTTTGTTTTGCCCCCTGGCAAGATGGCCACCACATCGTCCAAGTAGACCATTCTTGCTGGGCATTTATGTGAACTTAACTAAATTCGAAGTACAGTGGTTTACCACAAGGAAATAAACAATTTCAGAGATGCGAGACCTTTCAAACAAAATAACATAGGTGCTGACATAAAAATGAGGCATTTTTTGGGAGTATTTTCAGTGTTCATATGAAACCTTTTGAAACCATAGAACGATTTCTGAAACCTTTGAAGAAAAGATTTTGTCTGTAGTGAGTGTCTTCTTTTCAACAAGATATAATCTTGCTTGCTGAACTAAAAGAAACTCCAAAGTATTCCTTCATTAACATAATTTCAAAGTTTTGTATTTGTTTTCTATAGCAGGCATAAGATCTTGCTCATCTAAATGCCTCGTTTTCAAATATGAGCATGCAATACATTTGGCAGCATTTGCGCTTATTTCGGAAAAGATCTATTCAGGGAAGGGTACTGCTCCTGGATATGAGGTGGTATACTCAGGCACAAAATGTTCAAGCATAATAAGTGTGAACGCTCTAAGTCAGTGTTTTTTTTAAATTATTAACACTAAACTTGTGTTGTGTTTTCAGGGATTTAAAACGAGATGTAGCAAAAAAGCTTGAAAAACTAGAAAGAAGAACACAAAGAGCAATAGTTGAACTAATAAGTGAGTATTTACGAGAATTTCTTTCACTAAGTCCTCGTTAGTAAATCAAAATTCAAAATCCAATATTATCCAATATATATGTTATGCTAACATACAGCACTTCTCAATCGCACCCTTAAGTTTTTGTTGTCTTGGTGGACGTCAATAAGGCATTTCCATGGCATTCCATAGGCATGTTCCCTTGAAAACTTTGTGTTTTTTCCAACAATGTTATGGAAACACTTTGATAGACATCCACAAAAACTCAATTTTGTTGCAACATAAAAATGCATGATTTCGCGCATGTGATTTAGTGCTGTAATAGTTGATTAAGACAATCCTTAATTTCCATATTATTCTGTAGGAGAAAGACTCCAAGATAGTGAAAAGGAAGACTTAGCAGCTGCTGTGAATGCAGCGAGCACCGACCAAGGCTTTGAATCAGATTAACTATCCATGCTTGTGAAATAATCTTAGTACAGTTTATATTGTAGTTTTTATACCATTCTTGTACATGCATGAGGAAGGTACTTTTTCCGAGAGTCCCTCTGTCCTCCATGGTCTCTCCATCATAAAAAGCCTTCGGATTGTTATCAATATCCTGAAACAGCCTCTGGGCTGATGTTAATCAAGGCGTGGATATAACTAATGGATCGAAATGAAACTTGGTTATTGTGGAGGGAGGGGAGGAAAACCGGAGAAAATCTTGGAATCAAAAAAAAAATCTAGAAAACCCTTTTCACATTTGATGCCAAGTTCAGAAATCTAACCCGGCTGCGTAGGAGACTGAAGGCGCGATTACACATAGCAATCGGCGTTGCGACACGATTTACATGGAGCATTGCAGAGTGTAGCCTACAGCGCAATTTGAAAAATGTTGCGAGACAAGTTGCAGCAATCGTTTCCAAAAGTAGAATCCGTTCTACTTTTGGCAACGATTGCGTCTCCGTTGCACCGTTGTTCCACATAATCGTGCCTTATAATACCAATAATCTTTCTCTTATCAGCTTGAGTCGTGGTTCGTTTATAAATTACTGATATATCTTTTTTTTTAAAACAGATTGATAGTTTTGTAATATGGAAATATGGTCAGAAAATCTCCTTTTTCTTTGGTTATTCCAGCCCAAAGAGTGTAAAATATGCAGTTATGAAAATTAATAAACTTTATTTGTAGAAGTTTGTGTCGGTTGGAATTACTGTCGCTGCACATTTTAAGGTTTTCACTTCGTTATAAATAGAAATGAAAAACGAAATTGGACTCGAGGGGTGAAATATCGAGTAGTTTTTCTGAAATGATTGTAGAAAGAGGCGAGCGTTCTTGTACTTCCACGATCCATTGTGTGTGTGTTTGTTTGTTTGTTTGTTTGTTTACTTTCCTTTCTTCCTTTCTTTCTTTCTATAACCTCTTCTTCGTATTACAATTCTTTATTTCTGTATGTAATCAGTTACGGAATGAGCAACATTAATTCCTTTTAAAAATTCCTTCAAATTAAAAGAATCAAATATAAACAGGTATAAAAACAAAAGCACAAATGAAAACCCCAGAATTGTTAGTCGCGCTTATTCAACAATTTTAACAATTTCCAAAATGTGCATAAGATATCAAAACCTGTAAGGGTTACCTTAGAAAAGCCATTCAAACACAAGAAATCATGAAGAAAAACATGAATTTTCACTTTTATTTGACTCAGTATCGATAAGAACGAAAATAATCAGTGACCTAAATGACCGAACAACTTCAGTTTTACTAAACTAAAAAATTACCAAAATTTCGCTGCGTAAATTGACCGAAGTTATTTGACTAAAAAGAATCACTGCATGTTATGTTTATAGGGGTCAGTCGTGTTTTATTTTGTCAAACAGACTCCATATCAAAAACAGCAGGTTCTATCTTATATCCATTCTCTTTTGACAAAAGAGATCTGTGAAATTTCCGGGTTAGATCATAAATATTTTAAAACGCTGATCTTCTCATTTCTAGACGTTTAATCTTTTAAATTATCTGAGCGAAAGACAGCTCAAAAAAGTACAAAGGGGTTTGTTTAAATGTAACTCTTGCGATATTTTGAGGAAGGTTTGCTAAAGTTACCATTGAAGTCGTTGACAAAGCGACACTGAGACAAGAGTCACTCAAACAGTTACACTTCACAGTCCACTTAAAACGGTAAGTGTCCTATTCATTTGTGTTCATACGGCATTCATTCGTGAAAACACTATTACTAGTAATGCTAAACTAAACTTAAACAATGGCAATTTTCAATTCCACCAAACATTCAACCACATAAACGTACTCTTCTTGACTATAAATTCTGTTCTTGACTGAACCGATTTGTTTTCGTTCGCATTCTCTCACCTCTTCTCGAACGACTTGATAAAAATTTTATGAAGCCTATTGGTTTTGACCTTAATTTAAGACACTTTAAAAAAGATGTAATAAACTGAAAGAAGGTTTATTAAGGTCACTTAGAACTATAAACTATATTTATATAAGTTTTAAATCAAATCCATGAAATTTTTCGCACGGTTTTTGACAAGAATATAAACCATCTTACAGGTGTCGTCAACGAACTAAAACATTTAACGAAAGACTGCATTAAAATTATATTATTTGATAATTCTGCCGGAAGTTTCGAAACCAATTCATTAAAATATAGTTCGATAGACTCCCACAAAGCCTCTTTATGACAATTAAAAATCGTCAGACAACAAATCAGTAATATAATTATATCACTAGGGTTTCAATCAAAAAAAAAATCGCTTTCATATCGATGCTTGCACCATTCTACGAAGGGAGTTCGAAATCTAAGAAATTTCGACTTGATTTATTTTTTTGGAAGAATAAATAAAGAATCCCTTGCCGGCCATGATATGCAGGTCACCTGATTTTCTATCCAGGTTTAGTCTAAACCTACCAATGGTCCACCACAAATGGTGCGCTCTGATTGGCTGAGCTATAATTGTCTATTAAAGACCACTTTTAGCGAAGAAAGCTGATTTTGAAAGCCAAAAAAATTGCGGCTAACTCGTTTGGTCTACGACTCAGTAGACCATTTGGTCCACCCTTATGGAAATAGTCACCAACTAATTCATCTCCTTTTTTTTTTTTCTTCTTTTTTATTTCGCTTAATAGGTTGCCCACAATGAAAGTTTCTGCATTTCTCGTTTTTGCTGCAGTAGTTTTGTTAGGAAAATGCGCAAAGCTACCAAAAGATTCCAAAACCAGCAATACGGCCAAGGTCGTTTCCAAGGTTACGAAAGTCAAAGCTGTAACAACAAAACAAGATGTAGCTAAGAGTACAAAACATGATGGAGCTGCAAAAGTAAAAGTAGTTGCAAAAGATGGTTCGAACAAGGTTGAGCCTTCCAGCATTAAACACTCAACATCAACAACTAAAACTTCAACTAAACCTCTCGCTCAGAAAATTATAAAAACTGGGAAAGTTGCAGCGAAGAAGAATAAGAAGAACAGCTTTTGGTCGCCAAAGTCAGTCATTGTGCCGCACCAAGATACAGGAGAACGGGACGCAATAGTGAACAGCCATATTGCCAGGAATCCAATACTGGACAGCCTTTATGAACAAAGATACGCAGCTCTGGAAAAAGTTTCTGCGCTCAACAATCAAATCGACACGCTTTTGAACCGAAAACCAGTGACAGATGGAGCCAGTGAATCTTCATTTTTCAGGCCGGGAGCTTTCGATTCTGGTACTTATGGTGTTCAAGGCGGTACTATGTTCCTTGGGCCTGCGAACGCGGGGGATATTGTCGGGATGGAATCTGCAAAGAAAAGGGATGAATCGTCCTCAGGAAGACAAAAAAATGGTGCCATTCCTGATGCTAGTTCTGCGAGTCCTGTTTCGTACAGCTCACAAAACGATTTGAATAATGCTCCTGTAGATATGCCGCAGCCATTGCCGGACGCCGATCCGTTCATCTCGCCAGAAGGCAACGCAGCGGATAATGAACAGCAAAATTCATTGACTTTGAAGCATAGCATGGCCTACTCACCTGAAGACGTGGAAAATCCGCTAGGTTAGTAATGAGCTTGTTTTATAAGTGTAACCCTCAATACACTGAATCCCGTGGCCCTCGTTCCAAAATTAGTTGTCAAGTTTCATATTGTGAGGGGTCCATCTAATTTTTTAGTGATTTTTGGTCGGTCAAAATTGGGCTGCATATTTGCCGAGCTCAATGGTAGTATACAACTACAAAAATCGAATTGGGATTTAGAAGTTGTTCTTACGTTACGGAAAGGGGGAAAGGAGCTAGAACTCGGAGAAAAAAACTCAAAGCGCAGGAGAGAACCAACAAGCAACTCTACTCACATATGATGACGACTCCGAGGATCGAAACGGTGAAAAGCGACGCATCAGCAGCGCAGTAAACGTTTTAAAAAATGGTTGTAGCACTCCCCCTTTCACTCAGTAAGAAATTCATGACCCTCGTATTAAATCAACAAAAAAGAACAGCTTTCGTCAAAATAAAAAGGTTCGACCCTCCACAAAAGTTCAAATTTTCACTGATGACCCTCCCCTCTGAAACTGTAGCCCCCCACCCCCCAGCATACCTTCCTTTACAGAATTTAGTGGATAGTATAGAGACTAAAAATTATGAGACCTGCAAATAAAACTTTGAAAAATAAAGGGTCAAGATTTCTCCATCAGTGCCGTCTTCCTAATCCTCAGAATTTTCCTCTTATGCTTAGACCCCAGACTTTCCATCTGAAACGGAGTGCGGATTTATAATATGACAGGGATGCAATTAGAGCGCACATCCCTTAGATGAGCTGAAGATCTTTTTTATGGAAAGCTACTTGATGTACTTATGGAAATGACACGTGGTTTGAAATGGGAAACAGTGGAATAGGTCAATTTTACCCATTGACTCCAACTAATGCTCAAACTAATAATAACATTTGTAAATTTGATTCTTTTACTTTCCAGTGCTTGGCGACCCCAAGATGTTTGATTCAGCATGCTCGGTCTTAAAGCTAACATTCGAGCACACACAAGGATCCACGGTTCTGGATGACTCCCCACAAGGCAACAATGCTGAACTCGATGACGGTGCTTATGTCTCGGACCAACAGGCAAAGTCTGGACTCTCGTTACATATTGGAGAAGATGGGCACATGGAGATACCAGAATCCTTCAAAGGCAAGCCAACCAGAGCAGCAGCCGTTTCCATGTGGGTGAAACTTCAAGATGTGTCAGGAAAAAAACCGTTGTTTCAAACTTATGAAAATGAAGAATCGTTACACTATGATCTGTCGGTGGTGGATGGAAGGTTATCTTGGGGACATCTAGATGACATTGGCAAGGTAATATTCCATGTAACGGCCGATGAGAATGCAAAATTCACGCCGAGAAAATGGCATCACATTGTTGGAGCCTACAGTGACAAAACGAAAGAAGCAACCCTGTGGCTGGATGGAAAGAAAGTTGGAAAGGAAGAAAATGTTTCAGGGCTTTTGTCTCGGAATTGGGACAGGGTTTCTTTGTTTAAAGGCAAGACTTCTGGTGATGCAGATAATGTGTTTATGTTTCGCTGTTCGTTGGACAGAACCAAGGTCGTGGCTTTGTATGTTGCTGCAGCTTCACCTAAGGATGCAAAACGCTCGCAAATTCCTAAAGTTAAAAAAAGTCACCAAAAACTTTACTTCAAAGGGTGTGTATTTTTCGCTACCCTAAGTGGAAACTCTTCATTGCACTAAAAGTGGCAAAAGAACTACCATCTCTTCAAGCACCAAATTTCATCTTATACCTTTGTCAAGCTTTATATTTTAAAAAATAGTGTTGAATCAAGTCATCAAAATATCATACTCTGGGAGAAGACACAGACCATCGGAGTGCGGACATTTTCAAATTAGACCCAACTTGATTCTAATGTCATGCCCTTAAATCTCCTTATCACAGTATTAATTTTATGCTATCATATTTTTAGTAAAAATACACAGGTGATTATTGAAAATCTTGCGCGCTGATTGGTTGAGAAACTCACACTATCACAAGATAATCACCTCCAGTGATAATCAAAAATGGCGGCCAGCCGCTTTGTTGCTGTTACCAGGAAAAAATGTCTTTTATCTTCTTTTTTTTTTCTTTCTTTTTTTGAAAGAATCACCTGTGTATTTATACTAAAACAATTATTTGCCTCAGCCTCAGTGAATATCGGAGAATATTTACCTCGCCTCTTGAAGACTCACGTCTCGGAAAATATTCCCCAATATTCACTTTGCCTTCGGCAAATAATTGTTAAATATTACTTGAAAACTGTCAAAAGATAGTCATATAGTAGATTTGATTTAGTAGAGTCCATTTCGAAAACCAATTATGGGCATCAGGGTCCAATCAAATCAATTATTACTTAATGATTTCTGTGAATTAGTCAATTGTATAGCTTTAGCAAAGAATGTTCTCTTTTTTACTTCTCCTTTATGTTAAACTAACAGAATAAAGAAAAGACTCTTTGAATACCAAAAAGGGGGAAATATATCTCATAAGTGGTGTGCATGCCTTCCCAGGAGAATAAAAGGACAAAAGAGATGGTCGCCATGTTGGTTGACATGACAAAAGATACCAACACCAAAACATTCTTTTAAATAACCAAAATTGCGGTTATGACATCACATGCATCCCACAAGAGGGAGGGGGAGGACAAAAGATGTGGCTGCCATGTTGGTTGATATGACAGAAATTGCCAACACCAAGTATTTTGTCAAAATCAACCAAAATTGTAGTTATGACATCACACACCCCACGAGAGGTGGGGGGTGGGGGGTGGGGACAAAAGATGTAGCCCCCATGTTGGTTGATGCAACAAAAGACACCAAGACCAAATCTTTTTTTCAAAATCAACCAAAGTGGCGGCTATGATGTTACATCCACCTCAAGAATTGAGTATTCTCAAATTTTCAGTAATTAATCAAACGATAATCTTCAAAATGTATTTAGGTGCCTCTTAGGTAACCTAGGTGTAAAATTCTGTCGATGATTTCTTGCTGCATTTCTCAGAGCAAGAAACGAGTGACAACATTTTACCCCTGGGTTTTCTGGATTTTATCTCAAGTTTTTATCCCGAGAATGGCATCATCAATCACCTTACCATTCCCCTAAACATTTTCTTCAGTTTCTGAGAGCTATATGCGAGTGTCTTAACAAGACCAGCAGTAACAATACCTTTCATACTTTGTGTTATGCTGGACGTCATGACGATTGACACTACACCTTGTCGCAAATACTTGGCACACTTTGACCTATCTTGAGCAATGTTATTCAGTGAGTTACCATTTACATTTTTACCTTCAATTGTACTATATCTAACAACTCTTCTTAAAAGTGCATCGGGCAATGCCTGCAACAGTGAAAAAGTATGTTCATTGCTCAGATCCTGTTGAATTGTCCTTCTCGGTGTGGAAAGATTCAAATCACTTCTCTTCGACAGTAGTGGACGATATAAGTCCTGAAATCCTTGTAGATTGGAATTAACGATTTTTTTCACTTTGCCTTTATCTTCACCTACAATCATTCGAAAATCCCCTGCATAAGAAAACCAGGAGATTGTCATGTACAACTCTTCCTCGTCGAATTCTTCGGGCAAACACAGCAAAGCAGCATTAACGGCACTCGCGAGGTTTGCATTTAGTGCTGTCCTGACGGCAGACCCTTGAGCACGATGAATAATTTGGACTGGTTTATGAAGGCGTCCACTCGTGTACAACCATTCCCATGAATGCATATCACGTTGAAAATTCTCCAAACTTATAACGCCGTATTTTATCATTCTATCATAGAAGGGAACAAGTGTATTGTAGTACACTCCTGCTCCAAAACTATCTTGGGTAGTAACGATAGCGTTGGTGCCGAAGTTTTTGAGAAAGGAATAATGTGAAGAATGAAGGGCTATGTTCTCTTCATGCCAACGATACGAATCATCTACTACAAACACGAAATCTATCATATTTTCAGCTGAAATGTTTCCCTCTTGCTTAAATACACCTGAGCCATACGCAAATGCAAGAGAAATACCTTTAGGGAACTTAGAAACGATTTCTTGAAGAAATTTGAGTTTTGAGCTCTCTTCGTCCGCCATCTTGGATTGTATGCCGAGCCTCAGACACAGGAAGCCCAACTCATAGTTCTGCGAYATTTGCGATTCTGAAAAAATATAATTAAAATAAAAACTTCTGGAAGCTTCATATTGTATGAATTTTGCTCTTAGGATGTCTTAAAATGTGTTTGGAAGTATTTTTAGAACATTTATTTAGTTTCTGACATTTTACTTATTATGGGCTTCCTGTGCCACAGACATACGCTTGGCTTACTAATGTTTCCATAGTAACGCCCCAAGCAAATCGAAGGAGTTCTAATCAAGGCTGTTTATATCGATAGCGTAAAAAATAATAATGGCTTTCTTTAATCTGACTCAATTAGGACTGCAAGATACTATCAAGAATGGTGTGAAGACACCTGCAGCTCCGATCGCAACTGGACCAGTAGCGGGAACCCAGAGTGAAAATCAGCTGCCCGTTCGAACCAGTTTGAAAGAACCAGTCTATCCGAACTCCGATGCAAATGGCTCTTACGTGAAGTATACTGAGCGTCTTCACAAGCATATCAGACCACAGAAAGGTTGGTTAGTCACCAGTAGAATGATTCTCATCTAGTGGATTTTTGAAATATTAGAATGCTCTCTTTTATGTTTGAGTTTTTTGGTGTCTTCAAGTTCGAAATTTCGAAGCATATTGACGTAAACCAAAGAGCAAACAGCTGATTCGATTACTGGAAAATGGCAACATTTTATTGTAGATTTTCATTATTTTTCACCACCTAAACATCGTTACTTTTGGTCGCTAATGGAAACACATTAGAGTTATGCATAAGCGGCGGAGCAATCTAAAATTTCAGACATTTTCGGGTCATTTTGAAAACATTCTCCTTCCTCTGGGTACTTAAAATTCTCTAAAGACCCAAAATGAAGGATATGCCATTTTTGATTTTTTTTTTTTTTAAGTTATATAAAATTCCGCATTCGAAAGCGATTTCTGAACTATTAGCCTCCAATTCACTCCATAGTCAGGGGAGTATCCAAGATTTTGCCTTAGGGGAGCCCTAAACCGGTTTTCGGTAAGTCGACCTTATCACATGACTATATACATGTTTAAGTCTCTACAGCATGATTGGGGGGTGGTCCCCTTGACCCCCCTGGCTATGCCCCTGATGGTCTTTGGCACCCCCGGCTCTGCCACCTGTTATAAGACCTGACCCCATTATCATATTTTTAAACATGTTTTCCATAATCTCAAGGACCCAACGAGATATACGATAAGAAAATCAGCAACAATTACACGTACGGTTGGTGGATGAAGGATGGAGTTCAGAGGGAACAATGGACCAAGAATAGTCATCATCCTATGGTCAGAAGTGAAATGACAAGGTGAAATATTGAATTATGAATTATATTATAAATTATGTTTCAATATTGGCCCTTTTTATCCAAGAATCAAGTTCCAAAATAGTCCATTTACATCAAAGCATCCTTTACTACAATTACCAGAATCCCTTGCACATTTTCGTTTGGGCATAATGTTTTTCCCATTTCAGACCAAGTGTCAGTCTTTTCAGAACAAGATTGAGCCATATATTCCATATTTGTGTCTCAACTGTTAATCAAAGAAATATAATATACTACACTGGTTATACGACCAATAAGTAGCCAATGCCAAATGTTGATCAGTTCTACCAACTATTAAGGAAATCCGACTCATAGCTGCAGATCTGAAGGGCTGGACTTATTTTTAGCTGCCTGCGGAGATCAACAGCCGTAGATTTTCTGGATGAAGGAGAGATACTCTTGACTATTGGATGACATGTGTGGTCTGAAATGGCAAAACATTAATGTACACCCAAGCTAAAAGGATCTTAAAGAAGCTATAAAACCACTCACTTATTTTCCTTTTTCTTTTCCAGATTTGTAGATGACATGACATTAACCAACAGAGAATTCACTTTATTTTAATATTTATTATTGTATATATTTTCATCATTCTTAAATTTTGACTCTTGTTCTTTAAATTTATCTTATAAATATACTAGAAACTCTTAGCTTCTCCATAAAAGATGAATAATTTTCTCCATGCAGTTCAAACAGAACCTTCCTTATGACTAAATGCAAGTAGTCATGCAGTTTAGTACTCAAAACGCATGTAAACCATTTACAAATAAATTGATTCTTTTTCTACTGAAATATTTGTCATCATTTACACATGTTCATTATTATTAAATGTTAAAAATATAGTTGGCATTGTAGTGCAATACGACACTGGTTTAGGAGATATATTTCCAAGATGCCGTCTATTTTGTCCCCTTGAACAGTCCCACAATGCACTGTTATGCCAACTTGACCCAGTTTTTCACCCGGGGGGGGGGGGGGGGACTCTCTTGAAAAGTGAGTAGGAGGGCTTGATTGACGGACCTTTTAGGGTTGAAAATGAGACCTCACGTACCTTTTAGGGTCTCCGGCTGACTCTGTACCTCTTAGGGTCAGATTTGTTCATTTTGAAAAATATCAAACGTCATACAAGAATATAATGGTTGGAAACGTTGTCATTTTAAATGTGGTTGTACCTTTAAGGGTCTGAATTCAGCATCTCAGTTAATTTATGCATACCTTTTAGGGTCATTTTCAAAACTGTCCGTTGAGCCCCCCAACCACTTTTCAAGAGAGTCCCCCCCCCCCCCCCCAGGGTTTTTCCCTCCACTGGTGAAATAATTCATTGCACTGTGAGATTTCTTCGTATTTCACATTAAAAACTTTTGGACTAAAATCATTCTAGGTTTTTTGTATTACTTGTACCAAGAATAAATTCTTGACAAAAGAGTACCAATTAATGATAACATTATTCGCTATGTGGTGTCTGCTTTTGTAAAGGTGTTTTCTTGTATTGGTCTTCCAGTCCCCTGAGTTTGACAACCCTTTCTCCTTCTACAGGAGACATAATAGTAGACTCGGCAGAGGTAGGGCTGGTCTCTGCTAACATACTACCATACACTTGGCATGCCACAATCAGACAGCAGAGAACAATAGGGCCGATAATAGCACCTTCCAGACCCACACAGTAGATGCCACCAGCTACTGCTAGACCTGTAAGGTATGGGTGTCCACCACTTAAAATCAAATGAACAAAAAATTAGACGCTAACAATTTTTGTGAAGGAAACAATCAGGATGCCCTATTAAAAAATGAAAAGAAAAAAAAAAAAAAAGCAAAAAGCAGACAGTCATATTTAAAAAAGCGTTTTTGTGTAGGAAGCACTAATTGAGTGAAAATTTTCTTATCAGATTTATGCAAGGGCCCCAGTATACCATAAAGGGAGGGGTGATCTTAGATTGGAAAACATAGCTGAATGGGAAACGAGTGGAGTAGCGGTGTGAGCGCTCGTCTCTCATCAATGTGACCCGAGTTCAAGTCCTGCCAGGGTTCGGTGTTGTATATAAGTAGAGTAAGTTGTTTGTTGGTTCTATCCTGTGCTTCAAGGGTTTTTTGGGTTCTCCAGCTTTCCTCCCTCCGCAAAAATCAACTACTAAATTCCAATTCGATCATGGAATGAGGGCCACAGGTTTGTTAGCCACTGGCTAAGTGAGAAGGGCTCCCAGTCCTTCCCTCTCTTATTTTTTATGGAGAAAAAAATTGGAGGGTCCAGACAAAGACCCAGTGAAGCACAAGACTAAACAAACTCTACTAATGCAAGATGATAGGTCTATGCATTCAACCTACAGCCAATTTTAGTCCAGTTTTCCTCCCCCTGAAATATCTAACGTTACATTCCAAATAAGTCTGTGAGTTATGGAGTGTCTTGATCACCTAGATTAACCCAGTGCATGCAGAGGTTGTTTCTGGAAAAGGAAATTGAAAGTTTTCTGTTTTCTTTGGGTTTTCTGTTATTTTTAGCTCATATCACAGGAAGCCCAACTTACCCTGAGATCTCACTGTAAATGGCTGTGTCTACAAATGAGATAGGAAGAATGTGACAAATGGCCAAGATGATTGCAAGTACCCCTTCATCTTGAACCAGCCACAGTTCTAGAACACCAGGAATAGCAGCCCAATAGGTGCCAATAAATGGTACAACTGCTGCAACAGCTGCGATAGCTATGAAATCATAAAGGGGGGGCAAACATTAACTCTGGGTAAATAAAGGGCATATGTTTTTGTTACCTTTTGTGTATTTTATCCCACGCTATTGAAAATACCTTACTTAGTCAAGAAATTCAAAACTAAATTTGCAATGCCTGATGGAAAGGAACTGCAGTTAACAGGCTCGTTGCTAGAACCTTGAAAGGGGAGGTTCGTTTTTCTACCAATTTTAGTTATGCCATCACTTGAAAAATAAAAACACTGCTAAACACTTGATTATTTCATACTCCTACAAAGGTGGAGAGGGCGGGTTCGTTCAAATCATTGAACCACCCCTAGCGACGTGACTGATTAATACTGCCAATTATACAACAGCTTTCCCGCATTCTGATTGGCTGTATTGTGTAGTTCCAGAAAATATCCATACCCCATACCATACCATAAAATTGCCAAAAAGAACAAGATTACAAAACCAAAGTTTGTATGGAAGAAAATGGGAAGTTCCTGGGGGTAGGGGGGGGGGGTAATTTTACAAATTCCCTCCATGGTGATGGAGCTATAGACTGATATTTTTTGGAACTAGGCATTTTCAATGGTAACCTACTCATGCATGTATTGAAGTTATACAGATGTATAAGAAATACATGTAACCATCATCTTACCAGATGGGATGAACACAATATTGATTCCAAACAGTGTGTGAGTAAACCAAGTGTAAAGACCATAAAATGTAGCCATTTTTAATGCAGCTCCAAARACATCTCWAAAAAAAWRAAAAAAAAAAAAAAAAGAAAAACCTTCAAATTTCGTCAAACTCTGAAACAACCTCGCAGACAGTTTATTAAAACAATACAAACTTTGAAAGCAAAACAAACCAAAAAGTCCTTCATTTCTGACCTGATCGCTTTGAAAAGAGACTCCCCAAACCCTGCTGTTCCAGAAGCAAGCATCTGACCAAACCATTCAACAGGTTTATACTGGTCACCAGATGTACTCAGAAGATAAAACAATGCAGTAACAAACACAATCTATGGGGAGAAAGAAAGATATCCATTACAACAACATACTTTGTATAACTCCTGATGCAGGAATGATACACTGGTAGACATTTTTCCATACCACCACCCCCACTTACCCTCGGGCTGCCTGTGGAATCAAGGCCTGCCACGTGCCACCTGGGTTAGGCTTCACGAATTTGCAACGTCCCCTGTGATTTGTTAGGTTTAGGGGCAGGGTTGGGAAAAGGTCATTGTTTTCTATTGTTCTACACATATGCGCCCTCCAATAGGATCACATCTTGCAAATTCGTGAAGGACGACCCTGCCACCTATTATAATTGTATAATCAAAGAACATTTTTAAGTTAACTAGTTTCATTATTTTCAATTAGAATATTCATATTTCATAATCTTGTTTACTTATTTATTGATTATTTATTCTTTTCAAGTCTTAATTCATTTTTGTAATTTTTTCATTGCAATGGGCATTTGCAATTTTTTAAATTGATATTTGCACACTATAAATTAATAARTATTATCATATTATTATAAGGTGTTACACATATGCTGTTTGTCTTACCATTGAAAGTCCAGTATTGAGCACATAAGTTCCACTGAAGAAAACCAATGACAACACCATGGTAACCAAGTTGAATACCATGGTAAGATTGCCCTTCAGTATCATGTACACTGACTCCAGTAACTGTATAACAAAACAATCGTCTAAAGTTAACCCCCAACACAGGAATGAAAATGCTTCATAGGACTAATAAGACATATTAACTTTGGTTCTTAATAAGTCCTTGCTCATCAATGAATTTTGATACAATCATGTACATCGTGGAATGAAACTGATACTGAACTGAACTCAGATTTGCCTGTAGAATTGAGTTTTTCACTGCCGCCAGTCAAATATATGAAAGCTACCGCTTTGATTGACATCAGCAAAATACCAAATTTCAGCGTGCAGCAGCTCACAGCTACCAAGTTTGCATATAATTTTGAATTAAAATAACAGTAATGCAAATCTTTGACTTACAGACATGAGGATACCAAGATTTTCCTTGACAACAGAGAAGAGCACTTTAAAGTCAAGTTTGGTGATCAAACTGACAACATTTCCCCAAGACAAGTCAGCGGCTGTTTCATTGGCTGTGTTTTTAGTCCATCCAACACTGCCGTTAGCTATCTTGTTAACTGAGCTATTTCCCTGGATATAAGATCAAATTAATCACGATTACAACAATAATCATAATCTATTTCTAAAAATAATTGAAATTATAATTAAAATAAATAATAAAATAATAGTGTGAATTTCATATCAGTCGAAATATGCTGAAAGTTACACAACATTATACCGGGCACAGTCAGATAAAAAGACTGTCAGTTACAGTATTGATCTTTCTTTCAAATTATTTGGGGGCACATGCTTTATGAGAGAACTCCATTATAGAGTTGAGGGAGCAAACAAGTACAGGAAAGATTTCATTTTAGTACAATTTTAGACTTGAATATAGAGTTTCGAGCAATGTGATTGGTCGAGCAACCAGTGATTATAAGACAATATTTCACTGTTTAAACAGTAATTTATGAGGTTTGCCAAAGTTTGTCAGAGCAGTATTAATCATACTAAAACGTTTTTGCTTTTCTGAATTTCATCTTTTCTCTGATATTCAAGACTAAAAGATATTATACTGAAACAATTATTCACTAAAGGCCAAGTGATTATCTGGGGATGTTTACCTCGCTGCTTGTAGACTTGCCGCTCGGTAAATATTCTCTGATATTCACTTTGCCTTTGGCTAATAATTGTTAAACAAAAAAGATTACTCTCAAGTTAACATTATCATTATTGGAGGAGATAACTGGCTAAAAACTAGTGTGAGCTGCGTCGGTGTTTCTAATGAAACAGCAATGATAAAAAGGTAAATTATACACCATGAAAAGATGAAAAAACTTACTGGCGTTTCAGACGCTAGTCCTTCGTCGGATTATTGGCAATGTAGTTGTCATGAGTAAAAAATAATAATATAAGAAAAATATTTATTTCAAAAAGTACATACAAGAGCCATCCATGCATGGTAAAACCTGTCTGTCACCTCCAGGACACTCTGCTGCAGTAGTGTTGTATTACCACTGCCGTCACCAAGATATGTCCCCACCTTTTACAAACAAATACAACATACTATCTTAAAGACATAGTAGGTAATCGTGTACTTCATGACAAGCTGACACATGTCGGTCCACTATCGCCCAACTGTTGGTCGACAAGTCCTCCGACTATTGGCCGACTATCGACCGTGTGTTGGCCGAGCGTTGGCCGGCTATCGGCCGTGTGTTGACAGTGTATTGGCTGACCATTGGCCAACACACAGTCAACAGTTTTGGTAGACATAGTCTATAATATTTGGGATTTGTTTTCCCATACCAAACTTGTAATGTGTCATCTCTCTGAGATCTCTGGTAACATTGTAACATTCAAGAATTCAGTAGCGGATCCAGGGGTGGTAAAAGGGGCAACTAGTCACCCTTTTTCTCAAATTTCTCAGTGTATCATTAGTAACAGTCATCCCCTTTTTACTCGCTTTCCTGGTATAACCTTTGTAATAGTCCCCCCCTTCTAAAATAGCGCAGCACAACCGGGACGTCATAAAAATGAAGACAAAGGCGAAATTCGGACAAACAAACTTACAAGTTTACTTTCAGCAGATAATTTTCACAGCCGATCGCAGTTGATCTTAGTTTACACATGGGTTATTATTGTAATTTTAAGTAAAAATAATAAAATCAGTTCGTATAATCCTCGTAGCGGTTAAACAGAATGCAATGTTTGTCCGAATCTTTAAGCTATTTTTAGAATCAGTGCGCTGCGCCATTCCTGGGTCTGCCTCTGGAATTAATATGATTATATTATTATGGCACTGAGCAAAAGCATGGACAAGATCATCCATTATTTTACAACTAGTGTAGGGCCTAACTTGAAATCAATTATTAAAACTCAGAATGCTACTGAAGGACAACATATAATGATTACAATGACACTGAGATTCAAAATTGGAAAATATTAAGCACAAAGTAAATGGGTGTAGTACATTAATGAAATGTTTGTCCTACTGACAAGGGCTTTTAACCAGTCAGGGTCTGTTAGAGACCATCGTAAGTGCAATTATGAGTGATTTTTATGTCAGAATAGGAAAATTCAAAATCAGAGCAATTTTCATCTAGAACCCAGAGAAAAACCCTCAAAGCACAGGAGAGAACCAACAAACATTCTCTTCACTTATATGATCAAACCCAGGTTGCATTGGCGGTACCCCACTGGTATACGATGCAAGCACAATAAGTCAACTCACTTTTGCTGCAATCCATTTTCTTCCTAGAATGTATCCCCTCTCTACTGCTGAATCTAATGTTTTCTTGAATTCAGAATTTTCTGATATCCATCTGGAGATAAAAAACAGTAAAAAACGTGAAAAAATATCTGTTTTTTTAGGAGGGGGGTTAGCCCATAAAAAATCTACATGAAAAATAAAATAAATAAATATTTTTATTTTTAAGTGTCTAGTCATTCTAGCTCTTTTGCACTAATTGGGGACACTTTTCACTCACAGGCACTACCACTCAGTATATTCAATGTTCTATGCACACAACACTCTACTCATGTTGATTTTACAATGTGAATCGAAAAACTGTGGGCACTTAGAAATATTCCAGGAATTTTCTATTGTTCTTTGGCCAATCAGAATTGACTTTCTAACCACAAGATAGCGGAAAGATAACAATAACACTTCTGATTGGTTAAGAAAAATTCTTGGAATATTTCTAGGTGCCGACAGTTTTTCAATTTGCACTGTAACCCTTTTTTCCCATCCTACATTCATAGTTTAATGTTTGGCTGAGTTCAAACTGGGCACTCCCCAAAATCTCGTATCTACCCCTAAACCTCATAATCTCCCTCTCTCGATGCATTCTTTCCCTCTTTTCCCATCCTACATTCATAGTTCAATGTTTGGCTGAGTTCGAACCGGGTACTAACCAAAATCTCGTATCTACCCCTAAACCTCATAATCTCCCTCTCTCGATGCATTCTTTCCTCTTTTACCATCCTACTCTTTGAGGTTACTGACGGCTACTTTAATACCATATTAAGAGAAAACATACTTCAAAAGTTGAGGGTTTTTAGCCATGACATCGTTGACAAGGTTACCAGTGACAGTGACCAGATGAACACTCTCATGATGTACCTGTTAACACAAGTGAATGGCATATAAAGGCTTTGCACCATCATGTGACAGCAGCCATGTTAGATGACAGGAACAATACAATCGTTTTACATTAGAGTTCAATTCCTGAGAGCAAAAAGATTTTATTGTTCTACCATCTAACCACAGGCAGTCCAAGCTGTATTATGGGAGTTGGCATTGTGATGGGGCAAAGCCTTTATTAATAGGCTTACCCTACTTAGTACACTAATCTCCCCAATACAGATTATGACAGGGGTGGATCCAGGGGAGGGGTGCAGGGGGTGCGCACCCCTCCCTGGTTCGACTTTGTGCCCCTACTTTGAAGATAACCAATACTGTTTTTTCCCTTTGATTCTAAGGGGTGTACCCCTCCCTGGGTTAACTTTGTGCGCAGCACCTCTCCCTGAGCAAAATCCTGGATCCCCCCCCTGTATGATACAAATAGATGTTGAATATTTCTTACCTGAACAGCCAATAGGACTGTCACAGTGATGCTGACTATAACCAACCCAATGACCATGAACACACTCATGAGGTTGTCTATTGACTTCTCCATCAAAGAATTGACCTGTAAAGACACGTTGATACATTATGTTACATGTTACATGATAACTAACAAGGGAAGGATGGAAATGATTGCAGTGAGGAGAATCATCAAGAATCATCAACACTTTGAGTGTTCTTCCCATTATTACTTTTTGGACTTTCTACTGTTTCAACCCATATAAAGCATTGAGCTCAAATACACCAAATGTAGTGTCGTGCGCCGATCATTAGCTACGTCAGTTTGCGCATGTAAAGCATTGGGCGCCTTGTTGTTGAAATAAAGGATTTGAAGTGGATGTACAAAATCGTGTGGTCTTCTTAGATGAGTATTACTACACCGAGTGATCATATAAATCTTATTTCCAATCGATTGGTGATTTAGAGTAAGAATTTTAAAAAAGTGACAAAAAAATTGAAGTGTGTCCATGGTTCAAGTGTCCTCAATGAAACTCCCATTTTTTCCTTCCCACTTGTATTTTACTTTATAGACAGAAGCATGAGAGGTAGTAAAGATCAATATTATATTACAATTCACACCCCACACAGCGCTTCTCACATGTGAAATCGTACAATTTGCCATTGTGATGAAGTATGTTTTGGTGGACGTCAATCAATGCGTTTCAATGACATTCCATAGGCACCTGCCCTTAAAAGCTTTGTGTTTTCCAACAATGCTGGGAAACCAGCTTAGATTGGCATCCACCAAAACTCTATTATGTCTTGAATATGTGCTTGAGAAGCACTGTAAGACCAATCTTTAAACGAGGTATTACATGACATGATAACTACAGTACCTTTTGATCACCTCTCATAACCAGCTTAACCATTCCTCTGATTGGTGCCGGCATAATAGCATCTTTTCTTTGTCCTGTCCATTCCCTTAGCCTTTCGTGCCACCGGGACAAGAATTCTAGAACATAAGCCCAAGCTCCTGACCATATTACTGCAAGTTTTATCAGGTAGATTGCGAAAGGAATCGGCAATAACTGCAATATCCATACATGCATCCACACTCTCATCAACAGAATGCCCCATATTAAGGCAACAAAATATATATAGCTAGCTTTTTTGAACTTCTTTTTCATGCTCAGTCTTGGTCTGTTTTGTCTTCTTATTCTCTGTAGTCTGGTCTCTCTGCCATCTGTACTGTCTGTTGGCATGGCTGATTGAGGTGTTTCATTTATTTTATCGGGAGATGGTTTGAGTATATCTTCAATGTTACTTGTAGAGGACTCATCGGAGTCATAACTTACGGGTGACAGAACAGATGCTGCCACGGATAAGCCCTCAATGATGCTGCTACGCTTGTTTGGTTCATCTTTGGGACAGCTGCCGTCAACTTGATACAAAAAATAACACCTTAGTCTATAGGTTTTGAGGAGGGAAGAAAGCTAGGAAACAATTAGGGAGATATTTCTATGATGGCATCCATTTCATCCCCTAAGGCAGTCCCAAAATGCACTGCAATGCCAACTTGACTCAGTTTTTTCCTTAACCTCGGAATGGCTAATTTGTATTTCATAAAAGAACTAACTTACTTGTAACGAGTGCGGTGTGCAGTTATAAAGCACTTGGAGATTGGAAGAACACTCGAGAAGTGTTGAAATTAAGCACTTCTATTTTACCTAAAACTTTAATTCATAATTCTTGATACAACTTCTAATTCCGTTTGTGTTTATGTTTCACACTTCATTTTATCCAATTGTCATTTATATATTATAAACTATAAATGTGTATCGATATTCATTACAAATAACACTTAATCATATCTATTAATTGTAAATATTATTTTCCTTTTTTGGTTTTTATTTGCGCCATAATATTGTAATTATTGTAATTATAGATGTTTGTCTTTCCTTTTAACCTGCCTAGAATAGCTTTAAGCTACTTGCAGGTAAAAGTGTAAATATCAGTGTATTAATTGAAAACAATAAATGTCAAAAAAAATGTCAAACTAAAATCCCTCATGTTCTGCTAATCCCTGTTTAACTGAACACAGCAGATGTGCCCACACTCGTTTTATATTGTTTCTTCTTACCTTGATCTTTACTTCCAGTAGCATCAGTGACAAACCCTACAACTGTCAAGGACACGATAACCAGGAATAATGGTACTCTGTAAACACCAGCAATTGAAGCTAAGTAATTCACAAATGTCATCCACACTGGGAAAGATAGTATCCGCATAGTATGTGATGATGAAGGGGTCCACCAAGATATTAAAGCAATGCTATAAGCAATAATGATTGACCACACCTGTATCATAGAATATAAACAAATATAAGAAAATATGAACTAAATGGTAATCTTGGTCGAATCTAATACATCAATTAGTTTCTCATCCTTGAGGGCTGTAAGTGATTTTGCCAGGTATTCTAAAGTCGTACCCTAGATCAAGGTCTTTTCCATACACTTTCAATTAACAGCACATTACTGTGATTTCCAGTTACACGCAACCGAGACCTACATCACAAACAAAAAGGTGAATTTTGGTGGATGTCAATCAAAGGGGTTTCTAAGAACATCTGTGGATTCTGACTCTGAATTTCAAATGCTTGACTGCAAAGCTATCTGTATTGAATTACCTGATCTCGAAGACACTCAAAGCGTTTGAATTTCACAGCCAGAGTCCTGTGTAATTCTTGAGAAATTTGACCAGAGCAAGAAAGTCACAGAGACAAGAAGCATGATATAAGAGAAACAGTCCTTGCATGTTTGCATGTGTTCATTTGAGTATTCATGCCCATCCTGGTCTAGAAACCAATAGAAATGATAGAAACCCTTTTGATCGATGTCCACCAAAACTCAATTTTTTGTTTGTAATGAAGGTCTAGTTGGTCGCATGTAACTGGGAATCGCAGTAAACATTGAAACCACAGAAACAAGTAACTCAAATAACTGGAATTTAATGAAGATCATATTGCGGGGGTATCGTCGTGTACGGGAATTGTCAGGGGAATTCTATTTAAATTCAAATTTCAAGTAATCGGCTAGTAATCATACCCTACGATAGCATAAATTAAACTATAATAAATATTTATGTGCATGCACTGATGATACATCGTTTAAATATGACTAAAAAATGAGACCACCCAACCGAATTCACTTCGTGGTCTAGGGGTTAGGTTTAGGGTTAGGGTTGGGGTTGGCATTGTAGTAGTTCTTTGGTGCCGAAGGTACCGAGTTCGATTCTTGGTGTCTTCACTTAATTTTTTTTCTAAGTGAGGAGAACCAAAATTTCTAAGTCCCACTCGTGTGTTCGGAAACCTATGACGTATTTCGTTATCCGTACACGACGATAGTACACATATTGCACTACACATATAAACAATTCAATCTCAAAATATTTTAAGAATCATAAGTAATAGAATAGCGTATTACGTTAATAAATTATTAATGACAGTTAATTTTTTCGCGCTTTCATTGTCAAAACATGTACTGTGAAACATCGTGTATACAAGTAAGCTTATTACTTACCGCGAAAGGGTTGCTAAAATAATCCATAAAGACATAAAGTGCAGAACAAACTTGGTAAAGAAAGGATAAAATCTCTAGAAAAGGCCGAAAAACGTATAAACCATAAAGGAAGGGAGCAAGAAGAGTTAATATTAGGATAAGTCGAAGTCTTTTAGCAATGAATCCTCCAACGATATCAGAGCAATTGTTGACGAGTTGAAAGGGAACGACAGCAGCACCCACGACTAATGGAGTGCTTGAACTACGTAAAGAAGACAGCCATTTTCTAAATATCCCTGTCATGGTTCTTTTGAAAGGATGCAAGAATGCTCCACATAGTCCAGCCCATAGTAAAGGTTTAAGGAAGGGTCCTAACACGAAGTAAACAGCTACACCAGCAGCTCCCCCCGCCAACACGAAAACCAGAGCAACCGTGTTATAAAATGCTTGTTTTAAGGCCTTTTCGTGTTGAGCTCCAACGGAATTTAACACTGCGTTAAAGGGGGAAAAGTGTTCAAAGCTTGATTGACGTCCGGCAGATTTTAAATTGGCCATTCTTAGCAATTTTTTTGATCTATTAAGTTCAAGAAAGTAAAGTTGAGTTGCAAACAATGGCCATCTTGTTTTGAAGTGTGCAGCTGCTGACCGAATATTTAAATGAGACAAAAAATTAAAAATTAAAGTTAAAATGTTTTTTCCTTTTACGTTAAAATGTGAAAATTTTTCATTAAAACAATATAATGAGGATGTGCCTTGATTTAACTTTTCAACAAAGTTGGGTTTTTTTCATTTTTCTTCGTAAACCTACCCTCCCACAGTATACAAATTTTCAAGCCTTCGCGCTGATTCATGTAAACAAAAAGAATTTCACCTCACGGTAAATAACAATATTTTTTTTCTTAACAAAGGATTTTCTTATTTATTTTACTCTAACTTAAAATTAGAACTAACCTCACCCTCCCCTCCCCCAGTATATATACATCTATAGATATTTGAGCCTTCATGTTGATATACCAGCGGGTTTCCACATTAGGCTTGGCGTTCAAAATGGATCTTCACTTCAGCAAGACACTAGACGAAGTAAAACTTAAAGATGATGGCCTAAGAACCGTCACATCCGAAGAACAACAGCGTGTCGAAGAAGTAGTATCCAAGAATTATGCTTCGTACCTCAGAGTTGCGGATTTGAACCCAGATTTCCCTCTGTACCGTCAAAAACATTTGCATTACTTACGTCGTGGTCTGCGACATCTGTCGGATTCGTATGAATGCCTGGATGCCAGTCGACCATGGCTATGTTACTGGATATTACATTCACTAGAGCTGCTTGATGAACACGTGCCTCCTCAAGTGACTTCAAATATCGTGGATTTTCTTCGCCGGTGTCAAGATCCCGAGGGTGGATTCGGTGGGGGTCCAGGCCAGGTACCCCATTTGGCCCCCACTTATGCAGCAGTGTGTGCCTTAAGCATCCTGGGAAGTAAAGAGGCTCTGGATATTCTAGACCGTAAAGGGTTACAAAATTTCTTGTCTCAATGTAAAAGCATCGATGGGTCATTTCGTATGCATGTTGATGGAGAAGTCGATATAAGAGGTGTGTACTGTGCTGTTGTGGTTGCTAGTATTACCAACATCATGACCCCGTCATTATTTGAGGGTACAGATGAATGGCTTACTAAGTGTCAGACTTATGAAGGAGGGTTTTGTGGTGAACCTGGTCTAGAAGCACATGGTGGATATACATTCTGTGGCTATGCAGCTTTGATTTTATTAGGCAAAGAACACTTGATTGATACCAAAGGCCTACTACGTTGGGCTGCCAGTCGTCAAATGAAACTGGAAGGAGGATTTCAAGGCAGAACAAACAAGCTAGTTGACGGCTGCTACTCTTTTTGGCAAGGTGGGATATTCCCCTTGATACACAATGTGCTTGAAGCACAAAGTGACACTGCCATCAGTCAAGACAAGTGGATGTTTGATCAGACTGCCCTTCAACACTACGTTCTCATAAACTGTCAATACCATGCCGGAGGACTGATTGACAAGCCAGGAAAGTCACGAGACTTTTACCACACTTGTTATTGCCTCAGTGGTTTATCTGTTGCTCAGCACTTCATTTTGAAACACCAAATGAAAACTGATGCTGTTGGTGGTGATGAAAATTTATTAAAGCCAATCCACCCTTTATATAATATTTGCATTGACAGTGCTTTAAGTACACTGAAGTATTTTAAAAAGTTTGATATCCCTTAAGATTTTGACATAAGTACAGGGCTCATCCAAAAGGAAAAGAATTACATTTAAAAATAGTTTTTCAATTTGGTCAAATTAGACACATAATTAACTTAGATAATGAAAATATATCAATGACAAGTTTTGAAAAAATTCTTGGACTTGTTAATTCCAGAAAAGGGAGGATTTCATTGTCATTTAAAAATGTTAACTTTGGTATACATTTTCCATTGAAGTGCAAGTGATGAGGATAGAACACGAAATATAAAAAAAAGTTGATACTGAAAAATAGGAGCTACATGTATTTAATGACTAATAGTTACCATCACTGTACAAGAACATGTATTACACAAAGACGCAAATGGTCTTACTGCATGTGTTCTAATAAAAAGTGATAATAAATAATATTTTTATTAAAAACTTTGTATTCCCAGAAATATAGGTACATTGCTAATAGGTTACTAATAAAATTAAGTTTATATTTATTGAATGTTCTTGAACTGACACACACACACACATATATATATATATATACAGTGATATGCAGAAATTATGGGATATTGTCACCTATATTTTTTTGGGGTTGCCTATCAATAGGCCTAGGGCTTTCTGAAAAAAATATCAGAGATGGTATCCCATAATTTCTAATATCTTTTTGATATACTTTTGTGTATACACTTATTTCAATGAAGTTAGTCACCAAAAAACCTAGAAAGCTGAGATCACTGAGGATCATGGGAAACTTTTAACTTCAAACAAGTAAAGCTTTTGGTACAATTTGCAGCTTGAGGATGCTCAGAAGAGGTGAGACTGTAACTGCCAAAAGATCTAAAATCCATCCATTATCAAAGCAGTTGAAACATGTAAAATGTAACTACCCATAATCCTTGTCGGTCTCAGCTTTGTAGCTTTTCAGGTGACCAACTTTATTGAAATAAGTGTAAACAAAAGAATCAGAATTTTTGCATATCACTGTATATATATATATACACCTAACTAAAAAAATTCTGTAACTTCAGATATATATAATATTATGTCTTTTGTTCTCAAGAGACGAAACAATAGAAAAACAAAAGATATATATATATTTGTAAAGTTGCAGAATTCTTTTGGTTAGGTGTATATATATATATGTATATATTGAACCTTTCTGTTTGTGGGGGTAATTTTTTAAAATTCTTTAAATTTTATTTTAAGAAATGGTTTGTAGGCACAGAAGGTGGCTTGTATGACTGGAATTATTGATAAAATATTCTTTTATTTCATAAAAGTCTTTAAAACCTGACCTCATGATATCATGTTCATTAGGGTATTCCCACATAATCTTTACTTCTTTATTTATTTTTATTTATTTCAATATTTCAAAAGGAACTTCCAGTTTAGCAAAGGATTAGTTTAAATGGAATCCTGTATAAATACATATGATTACAGAATAGAACAAAGATCCTTGTTTACAGTATACACAGATTATATATCTGAAAAAATTCATCACCAAGCTACAAAATTAAAAGCATGTACTGTTATTTTTTCTACTTATGGTACCCAGGGTACTTGGGAAGTAGTATGCTGGTCAAGGAATTGACTATAAAAGAAAAATCCATCCTTCCATAATAATGATAATAATAAATTCCATATATATAGCATTCATATGCATAAGTATGTCCAAGGCGCTTTACAACTTATGAAAAAAAATCCATTCACTTATCATCCATCCATTGATCCATCCATCCATCCATTCCATCTATCCATCCATTCTTTCATTTTTTTCATGTGTTAGAAATGTAAACTTTTTCTAAAATGTTGATTTATCCTAGATTTTTAGGAGTATTTTTTGAATGAGCTATTAAAAAATAGAGAGTCTCGTGCATAATTTGAGGGCTTGCCCTGTTGAAGCTCGAAACGCGTATGGTTCTTCAATAAAATCTTGGGCTCAAATCGAACGTTCAAAAGTAGGCAGTCACCTTATTAAAAAATTAATTATTTAGTTTTTCCGATTTTATCTTCACCCAGGATTTTCACCACTCACTTTAATCTCAATTGGGCTCTCTGTGGAATAACATAGAAAAGATGTACAGTTGATTTGAGTAGAAAACGGAAAAAGAAAATTAATTTTATTTCTAAAAACTATAAATGGCAAAATCTTTCTTTCTTTTCTTTCTTTCTCTTAGGGGTCATATCGGTCATAGCAAGGTCACAGGGGAAGAATTTCGTCATTGCATGAGCGAGGGATGACGCCAAGCCCCTTCTTAGCTCGCTCGCTCGCGCGTATTTACAGTTAGTTGTCGTGGATACCTTCAAACAAGAATTCAAAAATTTGTGAATGTTAGCTTGGCTAGATAAGCGTGAATAACAGCGAAATCAACGATTGTGAGCTAAATTTAAGTTAAAACAATTAAAAAAACATGAAAGTAGTTTCCATGGGCTGTAGTTAGGTAAACAGCAGAATGTGAAACCCAAAAAAAGCGGGAAAAGTCCACGCGATTAACAAGCCTTTGTTTTCAGTTTGCGTTGTACTATCATAAGGTCAGTCAAGTGAGCTTTTGAGCTTTTGAAAATGAAGAGCTCATTAAGATTGACGGATGTAGTCCAAGAAATCCTTCCAACGAGACAAGACAGGATCAATTCTCTCCAGATTGCAGCTTCTGGTAGACGAAATACCATTCATGCGGTTGCTATTGCCAGCTTGTCGGCCCAAAAACGAATTCCAAGTGTCGTTGAAGATTATACATCTAGAACTAGAAAAGCTTACAGAGAAAGAAGGGCTTCGTATCATAAGCAGATTAGGAGTACACACAAGCACAAGGTAGGAGGTCATTACAGATTGAAATCTAAAGAAATGCAGTATCTTGTTAATTTACTAGCTCATGCGAGTGCGTGTGTCCGACGGCAAACTTTTACTGCATATATCATAGTGTACAGCACTGAAACTGTGGCCGTAGCCTTACGATGTATGTATGTGTTATATATACTTCATATATTTTATCTTTGCCGTATCTATGATAGGATGTAAAATTGCGGGAAGCCCATTACCATTCATTTCGTGAATTTTTCTCCTAACTCACAGAACAAAAGATATGTAGAAATTATTTACCGGTCAGCTCAGTTAATAAGGATAAGGGTTAAAAAGTGCCCGAGGTTTAGAATATGAGGACCGAGGCCGTTACAGGGAGATACATTCACAAGGCCGAAGGCCAAAGTTTTTCCCTATCCGGGCCGACTTTAGGACAGTAAATGACTTATTTATTTTTAGAGCATTTACTCTTCCCAATGTTTTGCATTTTGGATAGTTGATGTTTAGCAGGACTGCGGTCAGAGATATCCAACGCACGATTTTTGGGAAACCTTTTGGGAAATTTCTTAAGCCTTTTCTAACTTGCATTTTGTAGGGGGAGGGGATAGGGGGTGTTGTGTGAATAGTTAAAGAGCACTTAGCAAAACATTTACAAAGCGTTTTATATGCTTACCGCATACGTGTACGTTTTGGCAGGCAGAGAACTTGGCAATGATACGTGTAATAACTAGTATTTATTATATAATTACCAATGAAATATCTATTTTTCTCTATTTCGAAAAATTGATATCTTCACACGTGAAAATAACATGTTATTTTCACGTGTGAAAATAACACCATTGCGATGGCTATTCAAAAATACACGAAAAGAATTGCCTGAAAAAGCCAAAACATACTTTCATTGATAATTATATAATAAACAGAATATTACATGGGCGCTTGGAGATACGAAATTCATCTTCTCGTGTTGAAAATCGATATCTCACTCCTGAGATATCAATTGACACTCGAAGATAAATTTCGTATCTCCGCGCGCCCATGTAATATCCTCTATCTTCATAGATATTCATTATCATAATGCTTAACTTTTCAGACTGAATTCACAACCATCCAGCAAGAAAAAATCAAGGTAACTCGTTGAATAAATAGAGGATATTACATAGGCGCGCGGAGATACGAAATTTATCTTCGAGTGTTGAAAAGATCTCTCACAAGTGAGCGCAGCGAACGAGTGAGAGATTTTCAACACGAGAAGATAAATTTCGTATCTCCAAGCGCCCATGTAATATTCTGTTTATCATATAATTATCAATGGAGTATGTTTTGGCTTTTTCAGGCAATTATTTCCGTGTATTTTTGAATAGTCATTGCAATAGTGTTATCTCCACACGTGAAAATAACATGTTATTTTCACGTGTGAAGATATCAATTTTTCGAAATAGAGAAAAATAGATATTTCATTGGTAATTATATAATAAACAGTTTTATTATATAATTACCAATGAAATATCTATTTTTCTCTATTTCGAAAAATTGATATATCTTCACACGACTCTGAATATTTTTATTTTGTATAAAGGACTATTAAAAAAACTTCAAGCCATAGACCGTTTTACTTTGAGTGTAATGTTTTGCACTGGAAAATCACGAGGGGTGGTAAAGCAGTACTGCACCGTCTGGGCTATGGATTCTGGTTTGAAATTCTCGCATAGGCTCGTCTCCCAATGCTTTTGTTCACCGGGTTTTCCAACATACCTTTTTCAGCTAGTGTTCAGCAGGGCTCGATTGAAATTAATTTTAATTAATTTTACGTATCCTCCCTCGAATGTCTTTTTATTTCTCTGTTATCGCTAAAAAAAACTATTTCCAAGAGGAATGCAATGCAGAGTTGATTTCGCACAAAATAATGTGAAACTACATAATTTTTGCTGATTTTGCTTTATCCATTATTTCAGCCCCTTGATCGATTCCGCAAAATAGTTCGAATGGTGAGTTTAAATATCTTGTACTTTCTTATCTTATGATATCAATTAATTCTTTCTCCGTTTTTCGCTTCTTCTTCTTCCTCTTCTTCCTCTTCTTCCTCTTCTTCCTCTTCTTCCTCTACTTATACTTTCCTTTCCTTGCCGCGTGACGTAACTAAAGCCAGTCCAGAACTGGAAAAAAGAGCCAATCGAACTCCACAGGAGGCTCCAGCATAAAACATCTAGACCTTCCTATTGCTATACACACTAGTTTTTAGCTAGTTATCTCTTCTTATTGCTATATTTAGTTAAGAAGTAATTAGATCAAAAGAAAACGTAGTAGTTAAAACATTTCCCCACTACTTTTGTTTTTGCCGTTGGAATATATGCCATCTGGTTAATTCGCTGCTTATCTTTCTTTCGTTTTCAATGACCTTCGCTGGAACACATGAATATTCTTCAAAAAATCGAGGCTAACTCCCATCAGTCCAAAAGTTTTAATACTATTTCTCATATAGTTTTATAGGCTGATAATGATCTTGAGTCACTAAAAATACTGCCCCATGTGAGGATSGAACTCACGACCTTCAGATTATGAGACTGACGCGCTGCCTACTGCTCTAACGAGGCACTTCTCGTTTTATATTTTGAGCAAAGATTTAATCGGTTTTTCCCCACTTTTATTGTTTTGCATTGCGGACGCATGTTTTTTTAATTATTCAGTTTTCGTCGTATTTGATGTTGTTTTAATTGTTCTTTTGAAGATTTTCTTTTCTTTCGCCTTTGTCAACGAGAAAAAGATTTTGAGTAATTGAGCCTTTATTCTAGAAAATAACAAAATCGTGTGTGCGCAAAAAATTATAATTAAAATATATATATCAATAGGAAAACTTTGCTTAAAAATTAAAAAGAGAAGTGCCTCGTTAGCGCAGTAGGCAGCGCGTCAGTCTCATAATCTGAAGGTCGTGAGTTCCATCCTCACACGGGGCAGTATTTTTAGTAACTCAAGATCATCATTAGCCTATAGAACTATGAGAAATGGCACTAAAACTTTTGGACTGAATAATGCTATGTATGGAATTCTCTGATTTTTGAAGAATATTAATCTTTTCCAGTGAAGGTCAGTGAAAATATTTCATATTCCAAGGCAAAAAGAAAAGTAGCGAGGAAAATTTCTTGAATATTACGTTTTGTTTTGCTCTAATTACTTCTTAACTAAAAATAAAAAAATAAAGTCAAGGCTTGTAAAATTGAACTCGATCTTAAAGAACAAAACTTGTACAAAAACTCCCCGTGAATATGAGAAAATCTCCTCAATCTGGAAGCCAGTTGAATGCTTCAAGAATCAACAAATGGGAAAAGGGAGGAAGGGAAAAGTCAGTAACAACAAAATCATGTGTGTGCAATAGATTAAAATGTAGAAATAGTTAATGAATAGCAAAGCTTTGCTAAAATTGTCAATAGCAGGGGCCTCGTTAGCGCAGTAGGCAGTGCGTCAGTCTCATAATCTGAAGGTCGTGAGTTCGATCCTCACACGGGGCAGTATGTTTTTAGGTACTCGAAATCGTTTTTGCTAGAAATGTTGATTTGTTCTTCAAGTAATGATCAGTCAAAATGAAAGAACGATGAAGGAACGATGAACGCTTGTTGGAGAATAGTGAGCTAAAGATATTCAAACGCAAACTGAACGACAGTAACTATAGGACAAAGATTTCAAACAACTGTTTGATGTAGCTAAAATAATTATGCTAGTTATAAATAATACATAGTTTTCCTCATATATTCCATTACTAAAGTTACTTATGATAAAAAGCTTGATAAATTCAACTCGAACCTAATAAGGAAAACGTGTTAACAATCTCCCAAACATTCTTTTCATTCTTGGTGACAAAGCTGCCATATTACTCAGGAAGCCAGTTTAATGCTTTAAGAATCAACTAATGCATTAGAAAATGAAGTTAAGAAAGGAAAATCTTCAAAAACAACATCGATCATGAACAAAAACAACAACAATAAAAACGAAACTTGACTGGATACACCTGCGTGAGAAAAGAATAAAATTGGAAGAATAAAAAAGAATAGGAAAACTCGTCAGAGCTAGCCTCGATTTTCGAAGAATATTCATATTTCTTAGTGAAGCTATGTCAGTTGAAATTACAAATGTACAACAAATTCTTTTCATTCTTGGTGACAAAGACAAAAGACTTTATTAATGCAAAAGGTTAATTAAAAACTTCGGTTTTAAAACGAGAAGTGCCTCGTTAGCGCAGTAGGCAGCGCGTCAGTCTCATAATCTGAAGGTCGTGAGTTCGATCCTCACACGGGGCAGTATTTTTAGTCGGACTCAAGATCATTATCAGCCTATAGAACTATGCCAAATAGTATTAAAACTTTTGGACTGAATAATGCTATAGTTTGCAGTTCTCTGATGCTCCTCTGAGCTAGCCCTCGATTGAAGAATATTTTCAGTGAAGGTCAGTGAAAATGCTAGACAAATCATCAGAATAATTAATTAGGCAAAGGATAAATGATTTAACTAGAGGTATTTGCATTCTAGTTGATTTGATGAGTGAAATGATTACATGGAACTCTTCTTTATTCCCAAAACTCGATGATAATGGCTGATTCTTAAGTCACGTGGTATGTGACGTCACCTCACCCGTGGCATGTGACGTCACCTCATGCCACGTGGTCAGATGACTCACAACAGAAAGTTTATTTATCGATATCGCACCAAGTTTCGTTACCATAGCATTCATTTTAATAACTAATCACAAAACTCGACGATAATGTTTGATTTGTAACTCACGTAATATGTGACGTCACGCCGTGTCACGAGGTCAGATGATGATTGACAACACAAGTCCAACCCAACGTACAAAACTTCGTTACCATAGCATTCATTGTACTAACTATTAGCAAAAATTGACGATAATGTTTGGTTTGAATGTCACGTGGTATGTGACGCAGGCTACATCAGAACTGCAAATGCTTTTACTTTTCCAAAGTTAAATGAGAGTTTTTTTCTTTAAATTCTTTCCATTTTTCATTGCATGTATATCCAGCTGATTTGAGAATTTTTTTTAGCCAATCACAATCGAGAACATCTGCAAAACTGATGAATGGCTACTGTTTGGTACTAGTTTCAATTTCCCATAAATCTCATTTCTAAAATTCTCGTTACAATAAAAGACTTGATAAATTTAACTCAAACCCGAAGGAAAAAATATGAAACTTAATCATTCTTTTCATTCTTGGTGAAACGAAAATCTTTAAAACAACATAAAAAGCTCGATAAATTTAACTAGAACGTGAATTTTCAACTGACCTTCACTGGAACATTTCCGCAATATCCTTCAAAAGATCGAGGCTACTCTGACGAGCATTAGAGAACTCCAAATTATAGCATTATTCAGTCCACAAGTATTATATTTCTATTAGTTCTAGTTTGATGATGATCTTGAGTCACTAAAAATAAATGCCCCGTGTGAGGATCGAACTCACGACCTTCAGATTGTGAGACTGACGCGCTGCCTACTGCGCTAACGAGGCACTTGTTTGTTTGAAGTTGATATTTTTAGCTAAGCTTTTTTATTAATAAAGTCTTTTCTCTTTGACACCAAGAATGAAAAGAGTTTGTTGTACATTTGTAACTTTAACGTAACTTCATGACCACGAAATATGAATATTTTTCAAAAATCGAGGCTAACTCTGACGAGCATCCAAACAAAGTCCAAAAGTTTTAGTACTATTTCTCATAGTTCTATAGGCTGATGATGATCTTGAGTCACTAAAAATACTGCCCCGTGTGAGGATGGAACTCACGACCTTCAGATTATGAGACTGACGCGCTGCCTACTGCGCTAACGAGGCACGATTCTGTAAGCCATATATTTGCACGTTTCGTTGTTGCTATAGTTTGGAAGATTTTCCTTTCTTCTCATTAGTTGATTTTTGAAGCGTTCAACTGGCTTCCTGAAAAAAGCATTACGCCGCTTTGTCACTAAGAATGAAACTAGACAGTGGTTGAGTAGGTTAAACACTTTGCCCTCTTACGRCCTGGAATAACGTCATATTACTTTATAGTAATAGTAAACTTTATTTGATGCTGGATTTAAGAGTAGCATCTACATTTTATCAGAAATGTCTCCGAAAAAAATTATATATATATATCAGACCAACCAAATTATGTAATTAGCGTCGTTTGGAGCTGGAGCTCTCCTGGTTTTTGCTTTTATTTTTCTATAACGTTGATTTTCGAGTGAGATTAACTCTATCTGGCTTTCTAAACATTTTCTGGAATCAATCATGATTCGTTGTTCAAGAAACTTTCTACTTTCGCGGTGTATGAGCTGGAAATTATCTGCGGTTGATGTTCAAACTTCCCGCCATTGTTCTACTCCATTGGGCTGCATTCATAGTGTATGGCAGAGGGGGGGGCAGGTAAAATCTTTAAATGACAAAAACATTCTAAAGACCCCCCCCCCCTCTTTGAATTCCCCCCCAAAAATAACTATTCCCCCCGGGCAATCTGTCGTAGCCTCTTCTAAAA